TTGGGGGGGGGGGGGGTTGGGTGTGGTCGTCTTTCATTCATTCACTCATTCATTTATTTGATCAATAATCAAATGTACAAATGTACAGACATAAAATTCCAGAAGGAACAAGGACAAAAATCGATAAGAAAGACGTTTAAAACTATAAAAAGGTCCTAGGAAAAAGGTTAGAAATTATTAAGAAAACAAGATTAAAACAAGGAGAATAAAAGATAAGATAAGATAAGATAAGATACACTTTATTGCTCCAAGTCGGAAATTCAGTTCTCGCATTAAAATACAGTACAACAATTAAAAGAATGATCAAATATAATGAAAAAAAAAAGATATCAAACAACGTAATTAGGCCTATTAAGATAATTACAATTAAAACAAAATGTTTCTTAAGAAAAGCTCGAAAAAAATCTCGAAAAAAAAAAACGCCTAATACACAAAAATAGTCCAAACCCCCTCAAATTCGGTGGTCGTTTTTTACGCGGGTCGCCTTATAAACGAGCGAGAATACGGTATTATTTCTCATGACTGCTTAAGACTCCCCCCCCCCCCCCATGAATCGCGTCGGCTATGTCGTACGACGCTGTCGGAGTTGGCTTATAAAAAAAATAATATTACAAAGTCAATCTATAAATACAAGCGTAGGCCTACGTGTCTTCAACTGTCGGATTGTCTGTTTATTTATTGTATACATTTTGTTAAGAGGGTACTCATAAGAGACAGTCAAATCCCAACTCTGTTTATTCTCTACGATCATAGTAAACGTTTGCTTATTTTGTTAATTGTTATTTTCGTCAATTTATGGTCAATAAATAATATGCTCTAGGTTACACCTTTCAGGAGTGGATCGGGAAATCTTCTGACGGGGGTGGGGGAAATACTTAGTCCACATCTCACCATTGTTGTGAAGGTTCGCAATAAGGCCCCCTCTAAACGCTCAAAAATGGCACTGATGGAAAAAATGTGTTCCTCGACAGAATTATTGACTTTTCACCACGGGAGCATACTACCCCTACCTTAGACACCCCTCCTCCCACGGGCGTCACAAAGGTATAATCAAGGACCTATTGTCTATTCTATACTAGGAGAGTCGCAAAGCAAATTATGGCGTCGATACAATAGAAAATTCCAAATTAGTGGTAAAATAATCGAGCTCTACTTTCACCCACTGGTGGATCCGCCACTGAACCCATGGGTACACTTCCGTTTTTTCCCCTTTCCTCCCTTCAGCTCTTCTCAATTTTTTCCCTCTTTTTTGTTAATTTTTCGGCGGGACTGACAGGGGGAACAGGCCCCGTGGCTTCCCGCTGGATCCGCCGCTAGCCTTTATTACATAAGAAAGGTAACACGTCATACATTACAGAAGAAAAAGCATGTAGGATATTAGCCATATCTAGTTTCTAAAACCCTGTCCAGACTATCAAATTAAAAAAAAAACTGTCATGATGTGCCTATATATGGCCATGATGTGCCTATATATGGCCATGATGTGATGTCATCATGATAAGACTAGGCATGTCACATGCTTTTGTCAAGTAAAATCTGATAGCCAGGACAGGGTTTGACTCATCAGGAAGGATGAAAACGTTTCGAAATCTAACGGACCGCCGATCCCCTGAGAAATGAATGTAGGACTTATGCCAACCCTGTCCAAGGCCACCCGTCTAAAGCCACCCAGCAATGGACAATACCATTGTAAAGTGGGGGTGCACAATGTGCTGTTTGTCTTGATATTGCTCTATAACAGGTTTAGGTTGCAATGAGTTGTTTGTATCAGACCTACTAATTCATTCTTTCGTGTATTATAAATAGAAACTGGGAGTAGTCTAAATTAGGCATAAACATTCAGTACTCGAAATGAAAAATAACACAAGAGGTAAATGATGAAGTTCCCTTAATTATGCAGTCGAGTCGTTAATAGAAATGTCTTTTTTCAGTCAAAATGTATCATTTATCCAGTATCATGTGTTACCATATTATCGTTATTTTCCCTTTTTTCTTACAACTAAATAATATCACAATACCAGTACCATGTGTGATTTATGAATTTGAATAGTAAAATTGGGAGTAGCCTTGATGGTTTCTAGAAATGTTTTTTTTTTCAGTCAATTAAAAGTGAAGTAATTTTCACTGCTCTCTGATTCAATTACAGTTTTATTTCTCTTTCTCATTTTTTTTAATGCAAACAACACAAAGAATAAAATATCACAAAATTTTAAAGGAATTACAACATTTTATCAAAAGAAATTGAATTAATTAAAGGTTTGTTATTGACCAAAAATAAATATAGTCATTGCAACAAGATAGTATAATACATACTCCAAGTATCGAATGCACGCCCTCGTGTCGGGATTCAATATTTCGACATTAATTACAGTATATCATCATCATTCCTGATGATGACATAATTAATGTCGAAATATTGAATCCCGACACCTAATGTTGAAATATGTATTATACTATCTTATATGAGATTATTCAGTGGACCTTTCGGTATTACAAATTATCACAAAATGATAACCATCAATAGTAATGAAAGTATGTTAAATAAATAAATCTTAATCAAATGTCACATTATTATACAGGCTCTTATATATGTTGCCTACAGTAATTGTCAAGAATAGATGTAGTAATGAATAGTAAATATTAAATTGTAAATCCTTGTCTTATCAATAAACGGAAATCAGACAAAAACCTCCAGGACAATACACAACCACCCAGGACAATAACCACCCGGACATAAACCACCCAAAATGGACTATACCATGGGGAGGTCTGTGTGGTGGACAATGTTGGGTGGGCTTGTTTCTATCTAGCTTTACAATAGGATGTTGACTTCCTATTATACGCCCTTAATTCATTAATTCTTTTGACAACATGCAGGAAGGTTAATAAGCATTTTAGATTTCAGCAACCACTGTGCTTCATTCCTGATGATGACATAATTAATGTCGAAATATTGAATCCCAACACGATGGCGTGTATTTCAATACTTGGAGTATGTATTATACTTTCTTCACTGTGCTTAAAGTGTGTCGTTATTTATTTAATAATGTAAACACAATACTTAACTTCCAAACTTTATGGAGATTCAAATGTAAAATTTGTATTAAAGTGTTAATACATTTAAATGAATATGAAAACAGTCATATTCATTTAATACATTTAAATGAATATGACCGTTTTCATTCAAATTATTATTAAAGTACAGTAATTTTTAAAAGAAGTAGGGACAAGTCCTTTTAATACTATTAAGCCTAATCTGCTGTTAAATAAACTTATCGGTATGAATGTCAATCCCTATTTATGTTTGTGGATTCAGGACTTCCTAAAGAATCAAACACAGTGTGTAAGAATAAGCAATGTTCTATCTAATGTTATAACTTCCAATACTGGTGCACCACAGGGTTGTGTGTTATCACCCTTACTTTTTGCATTATATACCAGCGACCTTAGAAGTACATCAAACTAATGTCATATAATTAAGTTTGCTGATGACACTTGTCTAACAGGTATTATAAAAGATAATGATGAGAGGGCTTACAGACAAAAAGTTGATAACTTAGTAAACTGGTGCAATAACAATTCCTTGATTATAAATGTAAGTAAAACAAAGGAAATTGTATTTGATTTCAGGAAAATAGTACTCAAAAATCACCTTTAAATATAAATAACACTGATGTTTGTACTACTAGTGAATATAAGTACTTAGGAGTAGGGATTGATGATAAATTGTCTTGGTCAACTAACACTGAAAAATTGTATAAAAAAGCTAACCAAAGACTCTACTTCCTAAGGAAACTGAGATGTTTTAATGTCGGCCGTGATACATTGTTTCTTTTCACCAGGCCATGATTCAGTCGATTATGTCATTCTGCTGTATCATATGGTACAACAGCCTAACAAAGAAAAATGCTGGAAAATTACATAAGATCACGAAGTTAGCTAGTAAGATAATTGGTTTGGATGTCCCAGAAATGGAAAATATTTATTTTGAAATAATTAGCAGGAAATTTAAGTGTATATTAGATGACAACACACACCCTCTAAGTAAATATATCAACTTCAGTAAATCTGGTCGCATTATTCCCTCATTAAAGAAAACCTCTCGTCATAACAACTCATTTCTCTCTTCTGAGGATCAATCCGATTGAACAATGCAAGTCATAAGAGATAGCTGCAATCTATAAGTGTATATACAGTAGTTAGATTCTATGCTTATGTATCTTATTTTATATTTTTCTATATTTACTAATGAATTGTATCTTTATTTTAACACCTTTTATCTATTTATATTTGTGTATATGGTGTACTGC